CATCCAACAGCACGGCTTGAGACGCTGTAAAATTCCTAGATTGGTTCTAGACAACGACAGCAACAGTTCATTTTCAGAGCTTAAGCTTTGAAATCGAACAAATAAGAAGTAATTCCACAACTGGGAATCCGTTATGGTGCACATGTTTTCGAGAGGTTTTGCGGCCTTGAACATGAGTCTGTCAAATCTGTCAAAACGAAGGTCGAAACAAGATCGGGTTAATCTGGAATCCGCAAAAAACCAGTAAACCTCACCAACTTTCGCTTGCGTCGCTGCTTGTTAGTTTCTGCGAGCGTTTTCATTTTGACGTGGGCTTTGACGACGACCTTCCAGATGTTCTGTCGGGATCTTCTGTGAGAGTCTTTCTGATCTGTGCCAGGCTGTAATCGGCCCAAGAAAATTCCAGCTGTGAGATTCTTCCGTCCAAGATGGACAAACAGACGAGCCGCCTGCACCCAATGTCATGGCACAGTGTCAGAATTTTGCTTGTAGGTTGTTCATGAAGTTTCGAATGCCCAGTTGTTCATGAAATTTCTTTACGTGGCCTGTCCATTGCACAGCTATGGAGGACTGGAGGCTTTTCAACCACACTCTCAAACATAAATATGCCCATCGTGAATGTAAGAAGCTCCACGAACGTGCGTGTTCATTGCAACAACATCCTGACGATGAAGGTATGGTGAGCATTCGATTGCGAGGCATCAAAATGTGATTTATTTTGCATGTCAGGTTTGCTGAAATTGTCTTTTGGAAGTTGCAGATGTGAATCATGCCATCGCCGAACTTCTCTCCAGATTGCACACTCCGTGGCGACTGTCTGGCAAACGGATGGATCTGTCAAGACTGCTTGAGTTGACTATTGGACACAAAGGTGGGTGGGTCTATTCTGGAGAGTACTTAGTAGACTTACTAAGTCAAAAGCGCCTCCAAGTATTGGTTTCAGGATGTAGTTCGCCCGAAGACCCCACGCGGAAACCTTCGATCTGCAGGAAGCGATCTCCAACAGGTGCCGTAAAATGATAAGAACCCAAAAAAGGACCATAATTTTGACCACTCTTGTGAAAGATGCTAAGATGCTTCCGTCGAAGGCTGCGACGCGCCAGTTACTTGGAGGAAGCGATCACCGAAGACGATGCCGGAGAGATAGCCGAGAGGCCTACTCCAAGGATGCCAGTCGTCGCGAGAACCAGGGCACCTTGCCGTCGCCCGTCAACTCGGAGGTGATGACCGTCCCATCGCCATGCCCACATGGCGACTTCCGGGCTGTAGTCCAAAGGCGACCTTCGCAATGTCCTTGCAAGTCATTGCAAGCGACTCCCTGGCCCAACATCCGGATGTTGTGGACACCTTGATTCCCCACTGTGCCCGCGAGGCCCTCGAAGACACGAATAAGCGAAATTTTTGCCTTCCTGGCCCATCCGAATCCATGCAATCTCTGCGGCTAAAACAGAAGTGGCTGTAAATGACTTGCATTGCTTGAGAAACTGTTCTTGGCAAAGGTTTGCGAGATTTGAAGCTGGTCACTTCGTTTTCTATGTGCATCTTGTGTCCGCTTTTCATTCCTTAGCGTGAAGCATGGGATCTTTTCTGACCCCCAGCATGATCCAAGCCTTCTTCAGGCTTTCCGGCAGCGAAACCAGATGATGATGATGATGATGATGATGATTTGTCAGACAAGCAGCCAGGATCAACAGCATTGTGCAACAAGGCTAGTTACGATTGAAAACCCACCACGTCTATTGCAACATTGAACCTCCACACAACCATGTGTGCTTGTGATTGTGGTGCATCCCTAAACCCTAAACCCTAAACCCTAAACCCTGCACCCTTAAACCCTAAACCCTAAACGGTTTGATCTACGTTTTCGGCTCTGAGAAGCTTCAACATGTTTGCTGTTAACATATGGGACTGGCCTCTCGCCACTCCCGGTCGGGCAACTCAGCAGTTGCGGCGCCCGTGTCACTGCGTGAAGATGTGTTCAACTCCATCCGCGGTGCAGGTCCCAAGCCTGATGAGTGCCTTTGAAGAGTTGGGAATTTGCCCCGAAATTATCCAAGCAGTCGAGGAGGTGCAGCAGATTGCGACACCAGACATAAGACACATCTGCCGTCTGCAAGCCGAATTTTCGCCGTGGCGAGATAACGTTCAGGACGACTGGTTGCTTCCCACTCCGGTGCAGCAAGAGGTGGGTGTTGAGTTGCAGAGGACGCTCAAGCACATGTGTGGCAGTTCTGACATTCGGCACACCCCGGTGGGTCTTTCAGGCCATTCCTCTTATCCTTGGTGGAGGCCGCTGCTGTGAGTTTGGTCGGGGCTGGGGAAGCACTTTGCATGTCGTGTTTAATCAGAGTTTGAGGTTTGGGGTCCGGAAGCATAGTGGTACGTCGCTGCATGAGAAGGCGATGTATTGGTGGCGGCTGAAACAGGAAGCGGAAAGACCGGTGCTTTCGGTCTTGACCCGAGAAGTGCGTTTGATGTTGGATCAACATATTAATTATTGGAATGCTTGTAACACTCGCGATTGCTCGTATTTTGCAGATAAGTTGTGCCGCAAAGTGTCAGTACTGACGACAGCGAGCTAGCAAGCTCTTTCTGGACGGTCGTAGATGCTCGAAACCCTAAACCCTAAACCCTAAACCCTAAACCCTAAACCCTAAACCCTAAACCGCTCGTTACCAGACCGGGGCTGAGGTTTGCCTTGCCTCCAGATCGTGCACGAGACGTTGCGCGGGAAATGCAGCACCAGGTGCGATTTTTGGCATGTCACGTTTGCCCGACCTCGAAGTGCTTTGTTTTGGCCCCTGAACCCTAAACCCCAAACCCTAAACCCTAAACACAAAACCCAAAACCCTGAACCCTAAACCCTCAACCCTCAACCCTCAACCCTCAACCCTAAACCCTAAACCCAAATTGCAGGAAGGCGGCGGCATCGAATCTGAAGTGCGAGCTGAACTTGAACGACAAGGCAGCCCTTCGAAGCGGCGACCCAGGGGTAGAAGAAGAGCTAGCACGGGGCTTCAGAGGGAGAACCCAATACAGGTCTAGGGTTGGTTTAGGGTTTAGGGTTTAGGGTTTAGGGTTCAGGGTTTAGGGCCTACTTGGAGGATCATGGGATTTAGTAACTAGGGTTGTAAATAAGGTAACTATTCCTATAAGTAATTATAACCCCAATCAAGGTAGTTATAACCTTACTTACTTAAGTCCCATGATCCTCCAAGTACACCTTAATTGAGAATATACCAGGCCACTTATAGGGGCCTTTTTTCCATTATGATTTAAGATGTATTTCTTAATTCAGGGGTATAGGGTTCTCTGGGTTCCTGGTCCCTAAACCCTAAACCCTAAACCCTAAACCCTTAGGGCCTGGTGGCCGGCGTCTGGGTTTTAGGGGTTTTAGGAGTTCCAAGGGATCTATAACTTGGAGGATTATGGGACTTAGTAAGCAAGGTTATAACTACCTTCATTGGGGTTATAGGGTTTAGGGTTTTAGGGTTTAGGGTTTGAGGTTTAGGGTTAGGATCTTGGGACTTAGTATGTAGGGTTATAACGACCTTAATTGGGGTTACAATTACTTATCCGTATAGTTGCCTATTCATAACCCTAGTTACTAAGTCCCATGATCCTCCAAGTGTCTTGCCCTGGAGGACATGTTCGTGCTCGTGACAGAAGATGGGCTAGAGTGTAAAAGCGAAGATGACAAGCGATGGAACGGGATGCTTCCTCAGCTTTCCTTCTCTCAGAGCATCCCAGTGGCACGCCTTCACCCGGCTTTCGATTTCTTCAGAGCTCCGGTGTTTCAAGAGCCCTGCTGCCGAGGATTCGTGCAACCATCGAGGTGATGCAGGGCTGCTACATGTTCGAGGTGGAGGCCTGCCCTTCGTCTTTTTTTTTTGCTTCTTTTTGAAGCACCTCTTTTTTTGCATTCTTGTGTGCCTCGTAAGGTCGTGGAAGGCTTGGTGAGAATAGGCGGGCGAACTGCCACCAGCTGTCCCGAATAGACCGGTTTACACACGTAGGCCAGGCTTCTCGAAGCAGAACTTCACTGTCGTGGCTTTGCCAGGTTGGAGTGCCGGATTTGCCAAGTTGGAAATTGGAATCGATGACAAAAGCCCTGGGCCAAGACTTGGCTCTGAGAGCAAGTCCGATCTACACCGTTCTCCCCCCAAACCCCAAACCCCAAACCCCAAACCCCAAACCCCAAACCCTAAACCCCAAACCCTAAATCCTAACTTCAAAGACCCTAAACCGTAAACCCTAAACCCTAAACCTTAAACCCTAAACCCTAAAGCTTAAGTAGCCTTCTAGACCCCTTTAAAGGAACCCCAAAGGTTTCGGGTTTTCGATGAGGTTTCGGCTTCGGCTCGACCGGCAAGAAGAGCTGGAATCGCAAGTTTGAGGACTCCGCTGTTTAGGGTTTAGGGTTTAGGGTTTAGGGTTTAGGGAATCGCAAGTTTGAGGACCCAGCTGTAGGGGTTTAGGGGTTTAGGGGTTTAGGGGTTTAGATTTGTAGGGGTTTAGGGCTTTAGAGGTTTAGGGGTTTAGGGGTTTAGTGGTTTAGGGTTTAGGGTTTAGGGTGGTAGTAGTAGTAGAAGTAGTAGTAGTAGTAGTAGTAGTAGTAGCAGTAGTAGTAGTAGTAGTAGTAGTAGTAGTAGTAGTAGTAGTAGTTAGTGATCTTGGTAAACAATGACAAGACTAATAAGAAGCCGGAATAACCTCAAGACTAATGTTTATTGAGTAGTCTTGATATCAACAATAAGTAGTAACAGCCGCAAGAACAGCAATAATAGTAGTCATTTGCAAGAGCAGATCTCCACTACGAGCTGCCTTGACGGAACCCCCAGAAGAAGATAGGCAATTATGAAGGTCCCTATAGTATACACTACAGAAGCACAAGGGCACTTAGGGGCTTCTGGGAGTTTCGGATCTTGACCCTGGAAGGACTATGGTGAAGCTTTTGAGGAAGGCGACATCATCGGCCGGCTGCTCACAAAACCGGTTGCCCCTAAACCCTAAACCCTGAACCCTAAACCCTAAACCCTAATGTAACCCTAAGCCCTAAACCCTGATGTCGGCAGCTAAGGCTGCTTGCTTGACCGCGAGAAGCAGACGATCTCCTTTTGCAAGAACGGGAGAGACCTGGGAGTCGCATACAAGTGCGCCCCCCCATGGCTTCCCAGAGACTCCAATATCCTTTAATTAAGGAATATAAGGGATCCTATTATAATTCAAGGTATATTCCTTAATTAAGGGGTTTTGGAGTCTCTGGGATTCGGCAGTCCCGGGCGCAGGCTTCTTCTGCGTCAGCAAGGAGGTATTGAAGCGGGGGGAGGCGGTGAGCGCAGCCTTTGTTT